ATCAACCGGACAGCAGTAGCAACGGCTTCCGGACAAAACCGAGCTGGGACATGAGAGGCTAACAACATAGCACGAGTAAGCTCAACAACATGACGATTTTTCCGCTCGACAAGACCGTTTTGCTGAGACACCCCAGGACAAGATTTCTGAATTAATATTCCATGAGACTGAAACAAACTGGCTAACTGATTAGAACTGAATTCCCCCCCCAGGATCGGATCGGACTACACGAACTGTTCTACTGAACTGAGTTTGAATCATTTTTAAAAACTCGGTGGCAACAGACAAAAGGTCGGACTTTAAACGGAGAAAATACACCCAAGTGAATCGAGTAGCATGATCCACAAATAACGCAAAATATTTGTAACCATGTCGAGAATACGTAGGTGACGGTCCCCAAAGATCAGTGTGAACAATGTGAAAGGGCTCGGAAATCACAGTAGTGCTAGATGGGAATGAGTTACGAGTGGATTTAGCTTCAACACAACTGGTACACTGAAAATTTCCCGAAGAAAAATCAACCTTTTTATTCCCAAAAAGCTGTTGTTTAAACATGGTTACAAGCCGACTGGAATGGGGGTGACCTAACCGAGAATGCCACAATTCAAACTCATTATTTGGTAAACTAGAGAAAACCGGTAGCGAACGAGACTCAATACTAGACAATGATCGAGATGACGAAGGTTGACCCGACAATTCTTCGAGCTGAAAAACTCGTCCATGTTTACTCCCCCTTTCGATCTGCCTCCCCGTCTTCAGGTCCTGAATCACAACCAGAGGAGTCGAACACAACACGACAATTTTGCTCAGTTAGTTGCCCGACAGAAACCAAATTTGGCACAAGATTCGGAATACATAAAGTATTAGCTAAGTTCAATTTGGATGTCTCAACATGACCAACTCCTGTAACATTAAGTCGCTGCCCATTGGTAACCTGAATAGACCCCGACGTAACTGATTGTAATTTTGTAAGGGAAAGAGCATTGCCCGTCATGTGATTAAAACATTAAGAATCCAAAAGCCAGGAGGGAGTCTTACCAGCCTGATGGAGTGACGCAAATGCACTCGTGATCGCCGTGGGTAACGAGCGCTAGAGGGCTGAATGAACAAGTTACTCGACAGCCTCGACAGTCATATACTGGCCGTGAGAAGCAGCTGGAGCAGGCGTCTCTGCCGGGCGAACAGCATATGCCCCTCCTGCTGGTGGATTTTGCGGTGCAGAATGAGGCTCGGTTGATCGGGGCTGAACGAACCTGCAGTCAGTGATGATATGGCCCTTCTTCTTGCAGTATACGCAAAAATTGCGTTGCTTACAAAATTTTTGATAGTGACCCGGCTGACGACAATGGTGGCACACTATCTCCGACATACGACGCTGAAAACGAGTTCGAGAAACAGCATATACCTCATCATCTCCTGCAGAAGGCGCTGTCCCTTTGGGTCCAGAACTGCTAGCACCCTTCGCGCCAGCCACAGCAAACACCACTTCGCCAGAGCCGGGGCGAAGATCCAATTGTGCCAGCGTTCTTAGACGCGTCTCCTCGCGGACCAGAACCGCAAGAATCCCATCCATTTTCAGACTCTCTCGCTGCAGCAGATTGGCACGAACGGATTCAAATTCTGGCTTCAGGCGGCTGAGAAATTGCATCATGCGAGTGCGTTGACGGTCTTGAATCACTTCGGTCGACGCTGTAGCTGAACACAACGCCGCCGTTAATAAATCTTGCTCTGCCCATAATAACTGTGCCGCATTATAATATGACGTCACATCCATATCCCCCTGTTCAAGTCGAGTTAACTCGAACGTGATCTCGAATTGACGAGCCGGATCAGAGGTTGTATAGGTCTGGGCGAGATGAACCCAAATATCCCGCACCGAACGTAGCAGACGAAGACCCAGACTTCTAACTGGATCGATAGTACTCAAAAGAAGAGACTTTACCCGAGCATCAGTTTGAACCCACCTGGCGAGTTCTTCAGCAGATGATGGCGGGACTTGTGGCCGCTCAGACGTGCCATCTAGGAACGGAAGAAGGCCTTTGCCCTCGATAAAGATACGGAACTGGAACTCCCATAACCCATAGTTCTTGGAGTTCAACTAAACGGAAACCCTATCAGATTCCAAAGACGATAGCTCTGATACCATGTTAGCTAGTATCAAAACACTCTCAATACGAAAACGAAGAAGAAAACGTGACACACAGTTTACGTGGTTTCCCCGATATCGGGACTAGTCCACGGGAGAGCTAGAACTCTCCGAGCTGATACTCTTATTAGGTTTTCTTGAGTCCGATACTCCACAAGTTTACATATATATATTGCCCTCTAACCCTAGCTCACGTATGCACCTGCTAGGGCTAGTGTTCTACTGCTACACACTTCTACGTACATAATATAACAACAATGGGCCAAACAAAAGCATACGAGCCCGCCAATACAGCCCAAAACCGCTAACCCGCTAACAGATGGCACACAAAATGGCTAGCGTTCTACATAGGTAGAAGTAAACAAAACCTTTTGATTAATAGAATTTCTGTTTTTTTCCCGTTGGTTGTTGATCCCAAGATTCTAAGGGGCCGGCTAGAATAACAATAGCCCTTTTATTGTTACTGTAGCAACAAGGGTATAAGGGTAAATCAACCAAAAAATCAATAAAAATTAATCTAAACCATAAGCCTATTTCTCCTACGTCCACATCTCAATCGTCTTCTTCATCGCATCCATCCCGTCATTTCTTCTCTCTTCTGTCGTCGGAATCGGTGACCATCCAAATAAATCTACCGCGGTGGATGATCTAGGTTTCGAGCTGGTCGTGGAGGTAGTGGAGCGCCGCCGCCAATCGCCATGATTTTCTTCCTCTTCTCCCACTAGAGAATCGACAAGGCAAATTCCGCCCACATCATCGCGGCGGTGGCTAGGTTTCATATTTTCGGAACAGAACTCGGTTGGGGCTTCGATTTGGGCATGTAGTCGTAGATCAAGAATAGCTGATCCTCCTGTATGCACCATTCCCTCAATCGGATGAGATTCATGAGTGTGTTTTCGTAGTGCTTGGTCGAGCCATGGAAGATGGTGAGATAGTTCTTGATGTGGAATTTTGGTAAGCTTCTGTGGAGAGGATGCCTCAAAGTGTAGTCTGAAGGGGAGTAGTGGGTGGTGGATCCAAGTTGTGGGCACTGAATTTCCCTGCTTCGTCCAATATGGTTTCCCCTTCTGTGGCCCAATATGATGCTTCTTATATTTCTATCAGTCCCACGATGTCTTGGCTCAATTTGCTCTCCCACTTGCCTTCCTTCAGATTTCGGGTTTTAGTGCTGATGTAAATGTATCACCAAACTGGCAGTGATTGGGTTATAGGGAGTTGATGGCCATGGTTTTTGGGATTGGTTAATTAGTGATGAATAGTGAAGTACTGAGGTTATATGAGTTGATGATGTTGATGAAGGAGATGGAAAAACATGTGTTATGTTTCACTAATTTGTGGGGGGAAACAAAGTTAACTCAACGAGACTGCTTCTGTATCACTTAAAGAGAGACCGAGGCATTTTGATAAATTCAATAAAACATACTATAAAACACACAAAAAACTTTGTAACGTAAACCATAAATCTCCTGAAACATACCAAAAACACCATAAAACACACCATAAATGTTTCTAAAGCACACTAGAAACCTCATAATGCATACTACAAATCGCCTAAAACATACTAGAAACACCACAAAGCAAACCACAAGTCTTTCATAAGCACACCAGAAACCTCCTAATGCATACTACAAATCTCCTAAAACAAACCACAAACCTCACAAAGCAAACTACAACATTTGCGAAAGCACACCAGAAACCTCCTAATGCAAACCTGAAACGTCCTAATGCAGAACACAAATATATTAAAACAAACCAGAAACCCCTCAATGCAAACCACAAATTTTTTGAAAGCAAACGAGAAACTTCTCAATGCAAATCACAAACACGATAAAGCAAACCATAAACTTCTTAATGCAAACCACAAACACGATAAAGCAAACCACAAAAGGCATACAAATAATATGAGAAACCAAACCATAAATCTCACAATGCAAACCATAACATCCGGTGGTCGTTGGCAGTTGACCGGTCAACGAAGACCGTTGACCGGTCAATGAAGTTCGTTGACCAAACTCCGATGACCGTCAGTGAGTAGATTCCGGCCCCGATGACTAGATTCCGACGCCGGTAAGCATATTCCGACCACGGTGAGCACATTCCGGCGACGGTGAGCATATTCCGATGACAAAATAGCATATTTCGACGACAAAAAAACATATTCCGGTGACCGGCGACCAGATTCCGGAGACCAAAATTTTGGGCCGAAAAATAAAAAATATTTGTTTTTATTTTTTTATTATTTAAACATATTTTTCATAATGACAATATACCCCTGCTTTAATCTTACACTAGCTCAACTCATCTAATAAAAAGTTATCACAACTCTAGCTTCCTATTGGTTGGAGACTAACTAGTGTTGTTACAATAACAACACAAGGGGTGTTGTCATAGTAACGGGTCCCAGATTCTAACACCTATTTCTCATTAAACAACTTCTTGCTATAACGATACTATTTCAAGTTAATTTAAGTTACACATTTTCCATAAAAAGTAAGAAAAAAAAACTGAGTGTTATGGAAATCGAGTTCACCATCCCGAGTCTCTGTGTTACCATATGTATACAAATTACCAAGCTTTTATAATTATAGTAAACCATTCTTATCAATATAGTAAATTTCCTTTGCCATGAGAAAATGTAACTTTTACCACAACGAGAAATTGCCAATGCCAACTTGATACATGCTATCTACCATAAAGCCAAGTTTCCTTGTGTATTTTTCTCTCATCATTACACTACATTAACCATCTCTCCAATCAAATTGAAAAGAAACCTTCTATAGCTTATTTAACAACTTGTCTTTCCCCCACCATAGCTACGTAAAACCAAATTTACATACAAGAGTATATATGTATAAAACTTGCTGAATATGTATTACAAAGCAAGTGTATACGTCTCTATTAATTAATCCAGCAGGTAGCAGACTTCCTTAAACGCGTCCAAATCCTCCCGGAAAAGCGGCACGAACGCATCCACGCTCCCGTCGCCGACGAACGACGGCAGCAGAATCACCACCCCTTCCGTCGGAAAAAACGACGGCATGAACACGCAAGGACGACAGCCGCCGCCGAAATCCAGGTCGTAAAACGGGAACCTCAGCCAGCTGTGCACCTCCAGATCCGGGGACAGCGCGGATCTGCTCACATCCGCGGTGGGGACCAGCCCTTCCTTCTCAACGTCCACGTGGCTGGCGAAGTCAACGAACGACTTGAAGTAGCCGTCGTCGACTCCCACCACGGCGTCGTTTATCAGCTTCGCCGCGTAGGGCAGCGGTTGCGTAAGGAGGTCGTCCACTCGGGAGGTTGGAAACGCCCATAGCACCAAGTTGCCGAAGTAGTCGTCGGGAATTTGAGGGTCGTTGACCATCCTGGTCCGACCGTCGATCGAGATTCGGATCCTGGTCGACTCGGACCCGGCCAGGGTACGGGCCTTGGTTACGGTTCGCCAGAGGTGAGCCGCCACGGAGACGAACGTGGTGTACGGTTTGGTTGATGAGGCGGAACACCTTGACTTCAACTTGGATAAGAAATCGAGTGTGAAATGAAGCTTGTGGAAGACGACGAGGGGTTTGGGATCTGTTACATAACACATATGTGTAAGCTAGTTTTCGTAAGAAAGAAGTAATACATTACATTCTTTTGTACAAAAAGATATACCACTTTGAGATAGTATTATATCGACGTATTTTACCAATACACTAAGCTTGTGGCAGAGCCACGTACCTTAATTGAAATAGGCTGATTCTTGGGCACCTCGGTTCTAGAATAGAACGTAACACAACAAAATAGCAATATGTGTATATAATACTTCATGTTCTCGGTTTTATTTGTCTAACTATTAATAAATTACCGTGAGTGTTTTTTTGCACACATTAAACTTGTATATTATATGAATAACTCTAGATTTTATTGTGTCTCTAATTGTTTATTATGAGTTTACTAATTCCTAATTTAGCAATGAATATTCTCGACAATCAAATGAAAAAATGTTTACTAATTTCTAAATCGAACCCACCTTGAATATGAAATACTGATTGACATAAAATTCATTTTATACGCAAGTAACGAAAAGAGAACACACAACACACCTGGTTTCAAATTCTCGTCGGAACGAGTCTGACTCGAACTAGCTCGATTCTTGGATTTGTACTCGACTCCTCTGTGCTCATACTCGACCACAGGAGGCTTCCGTGGCGCGAAGATCGTCCGATCACGAAACGGCGAACGACCGACGTCGAGGCCGCGAGAAGCCCGACCCCACGCAACGAGAAACTCGCTGGTGGAACGACCATCAGCAACCAAATGATGAGCTGTGAACCCGACGACGAGGGAGCCACATCCGAACCTCGTGAGCTGGACCTGAACCAGCTCCTCGACGCCCTTCAGCCCCGGGTGGAGGCTCCACGTGGCCGGAGACGGCGTCAACAAGGGCATCATGACCTCGTCGAGCCGGGCATCGGTGCTGGCTTCAACGAGCTTGACGCCCTCGTCGTTGAGGAGGATGAGCTTAGGGTTTCCGTTTTTCTCGTCGCGCCCTAGCCTTCCTGCGAACTCGCGGTACTCGGCTAGGGCTTTTTGGAGGCCGAGCTTGATGGTGGCGTTGGGGGGAGTTGGTGGGCGGAAGGCGTAGATGACGGCGACGTGGGTGTCGTAGGTGGCCTTGTCGAAGACGGTGAGAGGGACGTTGGTTGATGGAGGAGGAGGAGGAGATGTGGGTTCATAAGTTGGTTTGAGGATGGTGGTAATTTCTACTTTCACCTTCATCTTTCTTTCGTGGTTTCTCTTACCTTCTCTTTCTTTCTGGGTTGTGTTATTTTGTGTTTCTCCGATTCATGGTTAACTGTATATATATAACTCGAATTGATGGGGAGTGGTTTAATAACGATTTTTTAATTATATTTTTACATGTCCTATCAAAATAAAATCGCTTTAATGAGCTTGAAGTTTATACCAATGTGGAATACCATGTGTTAGGGTGATGAGGATTCGAATAACAGTTTATACCAATGTGGTATACGTCGAATATTCATGAATCTAATGTGGAATGTATTAGGGTGATGAGGATTCGAATAACAGTTTATACCAATGTGGTATACGTCGAATATTCATGAATCTAATGTGGAATGTATTAGGGTGATGAGGATTCGAATAACAGTTTATACCAATGTGGAATGTGTTAGGGTGATGAGGATTCGAATATTCATGAATCCAATCAACAAACTGAGTTTGAAACGGGAGCGGTGGAGAGTGCTGTGGTTATTATCCAAAAACAGAAGAGGGCCATAGCCCAGAAGTGGAAAAAAGATATTGTTTACACCTAAAATTATTTTTGGCCTAAGTTCAATGCCGTAATAATGAGTCTCGGCATTTAATTCGATATTGCATGGCCAAAACGATGTCGTTTGGAGTCGAGCAATACCGCAAAGAATTTAAGCGAGACCGCGAAGAGGCTCGGCGGTACCACGATACTTGAAACGACATTGGTTGCAGACCATGTGTGAGTCATGCGCAGGACATGTGTTGCTGTTGGACAAGGAATGTTTTTTATTCTATTTTTCCTTGTTGGAGGAGGAGAGTAACAGCACCGTTTGGAGTCAAGCAATGCTGCGAAGAGATAAAACGGTGCTGCGAGCCTCAAACGTTTGGAGTCAAGCACCGCGACAAGCGGCATCGCGGATGAGTTAAAACGATACCGCGAAACAAAAAACGGTACCGCAAGGAAGCTCAGCGGTACCGCGACTGGAAACAACATTGTTTACCAGAAAATAAGATGTGGGCCGCGCGTTTAGTATTGGTGTTGGAAAATGAGTTTTTTAATTAATTATTATTATTATTCCTAATCGGAGAAGGATAAAAAAACAGCACCGTTTAGTGACAAGCAATGTCGCGGGTAGAACCAAGCGGTGTTGTTTAGTTAAAAACGATACCGCGAGTAAGCCCAACGGTACCGTTGTGCTAGAGAAAACGACAGTGTTTATTATAAAACAATGTCGCGGAGAAAAAGCAAACGGAGCTGTTTGAGGAAGAAAAGGACACCGCAAGTAAGCCCAACAATGCTGTGGGACGTGAAATATTTAATTAATGCGGTGTCGCATGGCTAAAAATGCCGCTAGTTAAACAACAATGCAGCGGAGTTGATGTCGCGGTCGCAAATTCAGTGGCGTTGCGAGTTCGACAACGCCTAGAAATTCAACGATGCCGCAAGGCCAAAACAACATCGTGGAGCTCAACGACGAAGGGAGCTTGACGGTGTTGCAAACTAAGCAATGTCGTGAATAGGTTCAACGACGTCGTTATGGAAACTTTGTTGGTGGAGGCGTAAACGACGTCGCGGGCTCATGAAAATAACGGAGTTATTTTCTTGCACGGGAGATTCGGGAGTGAAGAGATGATCAAAGCGGTTGAAGACTACGACTATGTGGATAAGAGTGAAGACACGTGGGAGTTCACGACGGAGCGGTTGAGGAAGCAGTTCCACAGGGCGTGAAGACTACCCAAGTGATTTCAAATAAAAGCAGCGGAGCAAGGAGAGAGAAGGGGACAACCAAAAATCAACACAAATCAACTCTGTTCAAACTTTACCTTTTCTCTGTAACTCCTTCGCGGAGCTCTCCTTCCAGGAATGATCTCCATAGTTGTAGTCTTAGTCGTAGTCGCGGAGCTCTCCACAGGAATCTCCATAGGAGTAGCGGTAGCGTAGATTCCTCAAAAATCTCAAACACCCTCGTTCGAACGTAGTTTGGAGAGGTGCGAACCGATTAACGGTCGTGTTGGTTAGAAGTCAGTGGCGCATCGATCAGATCAACATCGCCCGACGATGGATATTTGACGGTCACGTTGATTTCACCATTCAGAGGTGCATCGATCAAATCAACATCGCACGACGGTGGATATTTGACGATCGTCATCGTTTTCAGAGGTCAGAGTTGCACCGATCAAATCAACAGCGCCGACATTCGACGGCGGATATTTGACGGTCGTCTCGATTTCAGCTATCAGCGGTGCGTCCGATCAGCGGCACCGCAAGAGTTTCCACCGCGAAACACCAAATCAACATCGCCGCAAATCAAATTCAGGTGCGGCGTTGGTATTTGGTTTTTCTGAGGAAACAGATATATAGTGGAAGTACGTAATGAAATGGACAATTCAATTTGTAGTCGATCGCAATACTCAAATTCGGTGCATGTTTAATTAAGTAGGAGTTACTACAATGCAAGTAAGTGGTCGTCAAATTGTATAGCAATTCTCTTGGCCCAAAAACTCGAGCATTGAAGAGACAAACGGAAGGTGGGCTGTCCTGCCCCGAAGCAGTAATATTCACTTTTCTAATTACTATTTTCGTTGTTTCAATTCTTATCAGTTAAGTATGACCAATTTTTGTATTAATAGTTTGATATATTCACTGGGACCTCCTACCGTAACTAGGATATAATTTCAAGTTAGGTAACTTGTATAGATCTAAACCGTTAAAATCGATCAACCTAATATAAACCATTGATTAAAGAAATAAAAAATAAAAAAATAATAAGTAAATAAGCAACGACAACAAGGGTTGCCAGTCACCACATCCTCAATTTACCTATTTTATTTTTTTTCTTTCCTTTTTCACATTTGGTTGGTTTCCTTATTCTATCCTTTCCTTTTTTTTTAATTCTTATGGAATTAGAAGCTAAAAATTCCGTAATAACTTAGCTCTTTACGCAACAGGACGTTAATACTCATTACGTAAAGAGACCTTCCATTACGTAAGACTTCCGTAATGATATATTTTACAACCGTTACATAAAATACACATTCATTACGTAAAGGTTACGAAACCATAGTTATTTCTTACGTAACGGTTAAATCAGAAGTGTTACGTAAGGCTTCCGTAATGACTTAGCACTTTACGTAACACGAGGTTAATAATCATTGCGTAAAAAGACCTTCCATTACGTAAAGATTACGAAACAACAGTTATTTCTTACGTAACCGTTAAAACAGTAGTGTTACGTAAGGCTTCCGTAATGGCTTAGCATTTTACGTAACGCGAGATTAATAGCCATTATGTAAAGACACATTCTATTACGTAAGGCTTCCGTAATGATCTTTTACAACGGTTACGTAAGATTACCATATGTTACGTAACCATTACGTAATGCCTATTGTATTTTAGATAATGCGACCTGTGAAACCTGCTATAGCAGGTAAAAAAATTCAAGTTACCTTACTTCAAGTTATTGTAGGAAATCCCTACATTCACTAGAGTACTTTTTTTTAAAACTACTATACCTGTATTTGTGTGGATTGTCAATGAAATTGAGGGGATGCCAAGAGCTTTATCCATGCTCTAAATAACACATCCTCAAATTGACTAATTCATTCTACAGATGAAATTTTACTTGTATTAAAGAGGAACCAGAATTGAACATGGACACTACAACTCAATTGGTATCACTTCCAAAATTCATTTTTTGCAATGAATAGATGCATCACATGTTGGACTTACTCCACACTTCAGAGCATAACAACATAGCATGTCAAACGCAAATAATGCAATCATGTCTAGATTGGTAAATTTTGCATTTAATAAAAGGTGCAGTTCAGGGAAAAACTCTGAAAAAGTGGAGACTCAGTATATAATTAGAAATCCATAACTTATCAAATAGTATGGTATTCAATACATATTAACATGACCATAGTCTCATTGACTATATCACATCCTTTTCACCACATGAAAATAGGCGTTTGGCATCGGTTATTTCTTATGTTTTGTATCGGTTTGCACAGACACAAAAATTGCATCGGTTCACTTAAGCGACACGAAACCTGCCGACACTATCCAAATTTGTGTCGGTTTTGGTCAACCCCCGAAATAACCGATTCAAATCACATTTAGAAAGAACTAGACATATCTCAATAATCGAACAATATTTAGAACGAAAAGAGACTAATAATGGTCAAGTGATAAATAAGCTAGAAAAACTATAGCAGTTAGTAACTAACCTAGAAGTTAAAATATAATCTATTTATCAAAATTATATACTTATGAGAGCTTACAAAGGATTTATTTTTAACAAAACAATAAAAAATGATGTTTTTGACAAGTTAAAGGATTTATTGCAAAATTAAGAAGTAGAAGGTCTAGTTTTGAAATTTGAAAACAGAATATTCTAGTAACTTTAACCAACTGCACATATAAACGAGTTTAGTGGCACGAGGTGCTCTAAGGGGTTGTTTGTTTCGTTGATTTGGATTATGGATTTGGTACCTAAATCCATTCCATCATAATATTAGAACAATCCATCGTTTGTTTGCATTTTTTTAGGGAGTAAATCCGTGGAGTTCACGGATTTCAAGGGTCCATATCCGTGGACCTTACGGACTTGTAAATCTCACATATTGATGTGGGATTTGTAACATGCCAAAAATCCATGATGAGATTTTATCCATATAAGCTCATGAACTTTTAAAATTACAAGGTTGCCCTTACATTTACCTATTGTACATTATAAATAATCAATTTATTAACAACAAAAAAATAATATAAATATTCAATTAATGTTCAAACATGAGTTAGTTTTTTTTTATATCCTACTCTTGTGTTCTAGTTTTCTTTGACCTTTTCATGAAACGTGTAATTTTGTGTTCCCCTTTCTAATATATGTTGTTATATGTTACTTTTGAAAAGGAGGACAAAGAATTGGTAATTGATATACGTTACGTTAAAATTTAAACGAAATTTTCCCATTTATTATTATTGTCCTTGTGGAAGCATTATGCTTATTAGCAGGGCCGAGCCATGACATTCGGAGGCCCTGTTCGAAAATTAAAAACGTGTCCCTAAATTTTTTTCTCCGTAAATATATTAGAATTGAAATTTATTAAAAATATCAATTTTTTTCAAAATCATCATCAAAATTAGTTTGATCCACCACATCAAAATTAGGAGTTTCAATACAATCTAACATTTGCATCAGAATTTTCAGCAGCAATAGGAGCAACATTAGCATTAATGTTCAAAACATCATTAGCATCAATAACAACAGGAACAATATTACCATTAGAAACGTTTTCTTTCACCAAAGATTTATGAAGAGTCCTTTTTTAGATTGAGTAAACAACTTAATCATTTGCTTCTATTTATACTTAAAACTACCTAGTTCAAATTTTCTAGTTGAACAGGCCCGACAGCCCCATTGCTTCTACAACTCCATGGCAGGGCCGACCCATTAGATTGAGAAGAATTGGCTTTGTTCTCCAGCTCCATTCACCAATCACCAGCATCATTCTCCAAGCAGAAGCCGACTATGAAGAAGAACAGGGGAAGAAGGCGAGCGCCGAGCCATCATCATTCTTACCTATTACTGAACCACGACGGAAAGAAGGAAGTCGCCAAGTCGACATTAGTGGGAGAAAGCCAGCGCCGAGCGAAATTGCTGGTCTGGGCGGGAGCGCCGGAGCTGAACCACCATCCACCAAACTAGTCGGAAGTAGGCCCGATCCAGGATTGATTTCGGCTGCTTCAGTAAGGAAGGGATTGATTTCATCAAATGAATGAAAATCTGTTTTCCGGCGAGGAAATAATTTGGTTTGAACACAATGAATGCACCTTTGACTTCTTGAACAACGATAATTACACGGTTAACTCCTCTCCGAACAATGTTCGAACGAGGGTGTTTGATGTTTTTGATGGTTTTTGGGAATAATCTAAGTTACGTTACTCTACTCCTATGGAGATTCAGTGAGATCTCCAAAAATTAAGGGCTATGGCTAATTTGCAGAGAAAAAGATAAAGTTTGACATAGTGTGTCAAATGGTTGGTTGTGGAACCTTTTTACAATTTTAGTTTCTCCTATTTATAGACATCGAGTGTAACTGCCTTGGTAACTGCCTTTGTAACCGCTAGCTGGCTTGCTGCTCCAAACCGCCGCGAGGTCCTTGTCGCCGCCTTGGTGATTAGTTGGTAACCGTCACCTTGGGGGCCCTTGTCCCGTCATGGGCTGGTGGGTACTTGATGGCCTCGATGCCGGGTCGGGTTGTTGTTGATCCTTGTAGCTTGTCATGACTGGATGGGGTTGAGGCTCTTGCCTTAGCCTCCATGAACCATGATGAGGTCTTAATCTCACCCTCGACTGCTTGATGACTCCCCGCTCCTGAGTCCGCTACCACCTCATGACACCAAGTCCTTCTCATTAACTTGTTGGTTGTTACCAAGCCGTCTCATCGACTTGATACCTTCTGGCATGCCACCAAGCCCATGTAATCTACTTGACACCCCTTGCTACCAAGCCAACCCTGGTGGCTTGGTATCCATACTTAGTTTTTGTAGCCTCATCAAGTTGGTAAATTACACCCTGCCGGCTTGGTACCTCGTTAGGGTGCTACCAAGCCCGCCTTGGGACTTTATCTCTATATGGCCCCATAAGGGCCATACATGGCTGTTTGGTACCGAGTCAGGTGGCCACCTCAGCTAGCCACCATGCCTTAGTCGAATTTCTTGTCTTGTTGGCTTGATACCCTGATGTCTGGCTATCAAGTCCGTCTTGGCACCCTGTTGCCTGGCCACCAAGTCAGTCTTACCGGCTTGATACCCCCTTGCTATGGCCATGTGATTCCATACTTAACAAATTTTCACCTCGGCGTCATGCTTGATACCCTCTAGTGCAAGGACCCCCCGGGATGATGTAATGCTAGACCCCCTTGGATGGTATCATGTGTGTGTGAAAATCACCTGCTTGCCCCCATGGCACGGTATTCCTTCATTGACTTAGTATAATTTCTTCTTTCATTAATGAAGTGATACCATTCTATTTGATTTCACTGTCCACCACTATCAACCACCATACTTCCGACTCAACTTACCATGTGTTCATGTCTAGCTATGAAAGCCATGCTCATCAAGAGGGTATCATGCCATGCCTTGGGGTGTGAAAGGCTTGGCATGAAGACCATCACAGTGGCCAGTTATTATTGAACCATTGACACCCCAATCTTAAAGGGTTGGTACTTAGGGCTTGAGATTCTAGACATTGATCAATCAGTCATGCAACAACTCATCTTCTTTCAACAAGTAGAGCTCCTTGGACGGGTGGCCAGTCACGGCAAGGCCCTCACCTCCAACGTTACAACTCTAACTCAACTTTCCTCTTCTACATTTTTTTAGCCATGGGTTGGCTTGTGATCTTGTTTCTCTTTTTTTTTTACTTGCTAATTTTTTATTTATATTTATTTATTTTAATATGGAAGGGAGCGACACACGTCACTGATATCCAAACCCTTTGGCAACCATCAACATGCCAAAGGTGTACACCCACTGCCAAGTCCCTGAATTAAACCAGACCAACCATCCATAAATTGCATGTTTCTCCCCCTTAAGGAGATACGACTCCTTTGGTGTTGATTTTGAATTTTCCAACTTAACAACAGATGGTACTCGCTCAACATGTCCTGCCTTGGTGGGCTTGCAAGGGGTCCCCTGCTCCTCTGGCTTAGCCACCTTACTAGACATGTTGGGTTGTTGATGATGAACCTGATGTGTTTGTCTCGTTTCTGGTGGTACTCTAGGTACTCTCAACTCATTGGGCTCATGAAAGAGACCACGAGTTTTTATCTTTCTTGGTTTCGCCCAACCATGCTTAATCATCCCATATAGTTGGGACGAGGAGTGTTTGGACCCAACAAGTCGATGACCACCCTGGTGGCCAACCTGATCCTGCTCAACCCTTACGGCTTGCTGACTTCTACACGTAGCACATAACCTCTGGTTCTTTGTAGGACCATTTCTGGTTTTTGTATGCCGGGATGTCTTGTTCATGCCCCTGCCATTCATACTTGGCATGCCATGAGGGTTTTTAAGCATGGACTTGCTTCTTTGTCCATCTATTAACACACTCTCATACTTAGAAATTTTTTGAGTGGCTTGGGTGTGCTGCACACTCACATAATTTTCTCCCACTTGTTTCTTCATGGTCGGTGACATGCCCCCCTGTCCAGTGGTTGGAGACATGTCCCCCATACTATTATTCATGATTGTTGACGTGCCCCCTTTCCAAACATAGCCATATTAGTATGCTTAAAAGCATGTGTGGCTTCATGTTGTGGCTTATTGGCAACACCTATCAACCTACTAGTGGTGATTGATGACATGCCCCCCATGTCATCGTTAGCTACACTATCATGCTTACTATAAGCATGTGTGGCTTGAGTTTTTTGTGGTTTCTTGGGCACGTCTATCTGTATATTGTTTGTGGTTGGTGACATACCCACTTGTCGACCATTCATGGGTGGCATGCTACAAGGGGTCTTGCCTCCTTGTCCACTCTTTGACATGCTGTCAAAGTTATGAAAATCATGGGTGGCATGGGTGTCCATCACCCGCTTAGACTTGCCACTCACTCCATTCATCATGTTTGATGACATGCCCCCCTGTCCACTGCATGGAGATGGAGACATGTCCCCCTTTGCCCCCTTAGCCACGCTAACATTCTTACTAGCAGCATATGTGGTTTGGGATTGTAGTGGCTTCTTGGACACAACTGTCAACCCACTGTTTGTGCCACTGTTTGTGGTTGATGACATGTCCCTCATGTAATCCTTAGAAGATAAACATGGAATTCTGTTGGACACACCCTTTTGTTCGATTTTCTTGACATCAATGTGTCTCCCAGCTTGACACTTCACCTTGTTAGGTAGACTTCCAAGGCCCTCTTCATGCCCCCATGGCGATTTGCATCCACCAGGCCGCTCGAGCATAGATGGCATCGAGGGTGGGCAAGCTTGTTGTAGCACATCAGCTATTAACCCTCCACCAACTCTCACGTTCAAGCATGGTCTAGCCTCTGAGACAGTTTTATGAGTAACTGTCAGCACAGGCGGTTGCTTTACATGAGTGGTGAACGTGGGAGCGAGATTCTCGCCACAACCACCATGTTGAAGAGGTAGTTGAATTTCCATCGGAGACGATGACTTCTCTGACCATGGCTGAGTAGTCCGACCACCGGAGAACAGGATACTTGTATACTCAGTAGCAATACTTGGTGGCGGATCTATACCATTTTTTGGTAAAGAAATTTCTCGCACCACTGGTTCTATAAAATATTTTTTAAGCTTATCTAAGCAATTTGTATTTTCTGTAGTTGCTTCAAGCAATTCATCCAAACGTCTATCGAACATAGAACTAAATGAAGCAAGTTTTAGACTTTTCTGTTGTGAACTTCTAACAAGTCCATTCAAACTCTCTTCCATCGATCGACGGATCTCCACCATCACTTGACGGTTCTCCACCACCACCTTGCAGTTATCATCCACTATTGAGCGGAGTGACATGGTAGTGGTGGTTACATCGGCACAAGGTGCCGCCGGTGGCAATATCTCAATCATGCCATTGATTCCGACAACACTTACTGATTCTTGGCCAAATTTGAACTTGGCCGCCAATTCCTTCACAACTCCTGGTGAAATATCACCTTCATGTTCTCTCAGTCGTGGAGCCATCAAATCAAACACACAGAGTCCCACCAGGTGTACCAATTTTTTTTCCGGCGAGGAAAAACTGGTGTTTGAACTCAATGAATGCACCTTTGGCTTCTTGAACAACGATAATTACACAGTTCACTCCTCTCTGAACAATGTTCGAACGAGGGTGTTTGATTTTTTTTATGGTTTTTGGGAATAATCTAAGTTACGTTACTCTACTCCTATAGAGGTTCAGTGAGAGCTCCGAAAACTAAGGGCTATGGCTAATTTGCAGAGAAAAAGATAAAGTTTGACATAGTGTGTCAAATGGTTGGTTGTGGAACCTTTTTACAATTTTAGTTTCTCCTATTTATAGACATCGAGTGTAACTCCCTTGGTAACTGTCTTTGTAACCGCTAGCTGGCTTGCTGCTCCAAATCGCCTCGGGGTCCTTGTCGCCGCCTTGGTGACAAGTTGGTAACCGTCACCTTGGGGGCCCTTGTCCCGTCTTGGGCTGGGGGGTACTTGATGGCCTCGATGCCGGGTCGGGTTGTTTTTGATCCTTGTCACTTGTCATGACTAGATGGGGTTGAGGCTCTTGCCTTAGCCTCCATGAACCATGATGAGGTCTTGATCTCACCCTCGACTGTTTGATGACTCCCCGCTCCTGAGTCCGCTACCACCTCATGACACCAAGTCCTTCTCATTAACTTGTTGGTTGTTACCAAGCCGTTTCATCGGCTTGATACCTTCTGGCATGCCACCAAGCCCATGTAATCAACTTGACACCCCTTGCTACCAAGCCAACCCCGGTGGCTTGGTATCCATACTTAGTTTTTGTAACTTCATCAAGTTGGTAAATTACACCCTGCCGGCTTGGTACCCCGTTAGGGTGCTACCAAGCCCGCCTTGGGACTTTGTCTCCATATGTCCCCATAAGGGCCATACATGGTTTTTTTGTACCTAGTCGGGTGGCCACCTCAGCTAGCCACCATGCCTTACTCGAATTTTCTTGTCTTGTTGGCTTGATACCCTAATGTCTGGCTATCAAGTCCGTCTTGGCACCTTGTTGCCTAGCCACCAAGTCAGTCTTACCGGCTTGATACCCCCTTGGGGTCATGATACCTAGGGGTATGATACCCTATCGCCTTCTTACCGGCTTGATACCCCCTTGGGGCAGGATACCAAGGGGTATGATACCCTGTCGCCTTGCTTGGCTGCCAAGCCTGTCTTGCCGACCCCGTTGGCTTCATACTTAGCCAAATTCATGCTTTTCATGTCTTGGTACCAAGCCCTGCCTTGCCGACTTGGTACCCTCTTGCTATGGTCATGTGATTCCATACTTAACAAATTTTCACCTCGGCATCATGCTTGACACCCTAGTGCAAGGACCCCCTGGGATGATGTCATGCTAGACCCCCTTGGATGGTAGCATGTTGGACCCCCTTGCACGGTGTCATGCTTAACCCCCCTTGTGCGGTGGGTCTCATTACTTAGCCAATTTCAGTCTTCTTTCCCATCATGTCTAGCACGATGACCCCTTTGCATGACATCATGTTTGACCCCCCTGGGATGATGTCATGCTTCACCCCCTTGACTCCCTTGGACGAGACCCCCTTGGACGAGGTCATGCATGACCCCCCTTGTGGTTGGGTCTCCATACTTAGTCAAATTTCATACCAAGGGTTGGAGGCATCGTCCGGCTATGGGGGCCACGGAAACGGGTTGGCCATCATATAGAGAAGAAGGGGTTTGGCCACTTGGGCCCAAAAACCCAATGCAACAAGGCCCAGCTATCTCATTTAATCATTAATGTTGAGTTGACCTTATAAATCAATACCACTCCTTGAAAATAAGCAATGTGGTATTGAGTGATTTTTTTAGTGGTAAACAAAATCGAAGGAAGAATATGGGTGGATGCTTCACCTTCTTGGCCAAGTATTTAAGGGGGATTGAGTTAGAGAAGAGACGTTGAAAAATGAAAATTGATTATGAAGAATTGGAGAGGAACTTTGGTTTCGTTGTTTAGAGACGTTTTTTTTTTGGGAAGGTGAGAAATTTGGGGAAGGATTTAATCATTGATGATTTTGGGAATGGGAGATTATGATTATGAGATTGGGTAATTGGTAAAGAGGAGAGGATTAAGGAGGCGCAGTGCTGGGTGAGCAGAGCCTGCCGATCCGTTTTCCATCAGATTTTTTTTAATATATATGTTCAGTATACGGGCCGGGTTGAGGCCCCATATATTTTGAGGCCATGTGCTGTAGATCAGGCCAGCACATGATCTGGGTCGGGCCTGCTTATTAGTACATATTGTTTTTATTTTGTGGAAACATTTCGACCCTAAATGAAATGAAGTGGCGTGTGTCCACCCATTCAAATAAATAAGTCGCATCACAAGTATTTCACCCCTACATACACTGACATAGCCTAGTGGGAAGGGGCTATATGTCATCATTTTAGCTAATTTTTTACGTATGGTGAGTTGAAAGATGTTGATGACACTTATTTGTGCACATCTATGATTAGGTGCTCCTACGGTGACATGCATGTGACGGTGACTTGCACTTTTCGGTCGACTTTAGTTAGGATTAGGTCGACCTCATTGAGGGTTAGGTCGAACTCATTTAGGGTTAGGTCGACCTAATATGTTGTTTCAATGTAAAAACAGTTTCATGGTGCCTACTTTGAAGATTCATATCATACAATTGACTAGATGGAAATTCAAGATTAATGGCTTGTTTTGAAGCTGGAGTGTCCCTCTACATATTGAAGTGATCAAGAGCTCGATAGGAAGTCTGGAAGACCATTTTTGAACCTGATCAAAAGGCTATGCCAAAACTGGGAAAATCCCTAAAAATGGTTGTCTGGAAACGTGTTTGTGAAGCCTAATTTGGAGCTCAATTCGAGAAGCATGAATGTGAGTCGAGTCCAGGGGCCTCTACCACGTTAAATTAGGTGTATTTTTATACTAATTCAAGACATTGGATGAAGTATTGGATATCTATAAGGCTTCAAACAAAAGGTTCGAAGTTGCTACGAAGGCTGTTTTTCTGGCAAACTTCGAGCACAAGCAAGCTGCCAGAAAACAACCTTCGAAGCAACTTCGAGCCTTTTGTTTGACGCCTTAAAGATATCCAATCTTTCATCCAATACCTTGCCTTTGTAGTCAAACATATCTAATTTAACGTGGTAGAGGTTATTGGACTCGAATCGCATCTATGTTTCTCAAATTGAGCTCCAAAGTAGACTTCACAAACACGTTCCCAGACTTAGTCATTTTCAGACAGTTTCCCAGTTGTGGCATAGCCTTTTGATTAGGTTCAAAAATTGTCTTCTGGACTTCCTATCGACCTCCCAAGTAATCTCCACTTTTGATTAGGTTCAAAACAAGACATTAATCTCCAATTTGCATCTAGCCAATTGTAAGATATGAATCTCCAAAGTAGGCACCATGAAACTGTTTTTACACTGAAACAATAGATTAGGTCGACCCAATCCTATATGACAGGGGCGGAGCCAGGATTGAAAGTTCGGGCGGAGCCGAATTTATTTAGTAAATTATCGTGAAAATCCAAAGATAAAAATAAATAATAACGACACATATTGATTAAAATAAAATAAAACTCAAAATATAAATAATTTAAAGTTTGCTAGTATGTTATACTCAAAACAAATGTTTGTACTGTGAGCAAAAATTATCATGCATTTTAACATGTAATTATTTTATACCTTGAATATGAATTTATGATTATATTATTTTTAATTTTTTTATACCTTGAATATGAATTTATTATTATATTATTATTTTTAAAAATTAATTAATTACATATCAAATTTTTTTTTTTTGAAAATATGAATGTAAGAGTTTAAGAACTTGACTGAATTTATTTGAAATTATAGGATTTATAAGAAAAAATAGAAAAATTAGAGGATTAAACTAGAAAAAAATTGTTAAAATTATAAAAGCAATGTGGTGTATCAGGGCTGAACCTTGTAGCTACAACTGGGTAGCTTATCCACTAGACTGGAAATCAGTGTTGTTAAGAATGTTTCACTCAAATTTTATATACTCGTTAGATTGAGTTTATACGTAATTCTCGAAATTTTCTAGGACTTTATATGTAAGTTTCAAAATTCGGGGGGGGGGGGGGGGGGGGGGGGGAGGAGGAGGGGGGGGGGGGGCGGTGCCCCACCGAGAGCCTACATAGCTCCGCCTTTGCTATATGAGGTCGACCAAAAAATGTTTGTCACCGTAGCAAAGTCCATACGATTATTATGTGTACAAGATGTACGAACCCATAGTGGAACCCATTAGTAGGGAAGGATGATATTAAAATATAGTATGAGCTCATAAACAGTGGCAGAGCCACTTGGAGAGGAGGGGGTGCTTTGCACCCCCCTTGGCTTTGGATAAATTTTTTTCGAGTAGGGGTATATACAAATTCCAACCAATGACCATTCAGTTGCAGAAAGAATTTCTTATCATTTCGATCGAGTGAGTTTTGTTATGTAATGCACTTTCGTCTTTATTTATAGTAATAAATTGTTGTCTTTTGTTTAAACTCGCTATTTTTTTTTTTGTAGCTCTACAACAGAGAAATTTCTTGTCTTTTGTTTAAACAAAGTTGAAAGTGAAGAAGTACCAATTGAAGTTCGCTTGTTTGTTTCACAAAATCAATTCCAAGGTACTTCTGAGTTCTAATTTGTAATATTTGATGAATGGAAGTCTTGATTTGTATGTACTGAACTTATTTGTTTGACGTTGTAACCGGTGTACGTGAAACTATTTTGATGTAATTGTGTGAATTTAGAGTATTGCGTTGTTGACTTTTTGTTTAATTTAAAGTTGACTTTTCTATTATATAGGTGATTTTTTATGATATGATAAAGACACCCCCTTAGCCAATTTCCTGGCTCCGCCACTACTCATAAATGTGTACGTAGCTCAATAAATGAATACGAAAATGATTTAACGGGATATGTCTGGTTGGTGTATCTTAATAGTGGTGTTCGGCCATTTAATGGCCGCAAGGTTAGCGGTGGGAAACTGAATACTCTACATTCCGTCTTGTTTACTAGGAGGATCAATAAGTTCTCTCGAGCTACATTTTATGGAGACCAACATGTATAAATAGTTGAGAAAAAGGGTTATAGGTATAATATGATCCTCTACTATGTAGTTTTATCAAACATGCTCCTAGACTATTTTTTATATCAAATCTGCCCTTGTACTTTGGGCAAATGATCAAACATGCCCTTCTGTTAAAATTTCCATTAAAAAAATCGCCAACCATGGTTGAACCGAGATGTAGATGCCCCGACACCGGCAAATGAGATCGAAAATGTAATTTTTGTTCCCCATTTTATTTTTCTAGGTCTCGTTAAAATGAAATTATTAGAGGTATTTGGCTCTACAAAAGAACCCAAAAATAAATGTTTATACTGTGAGCAAAAATTATCATGCATTTTAACATGTAATTGTTTTATACCTTGAATATGAATTTATGATTATATTATTTTGTAATTGTTTTATACCTTGAATATGAATTTATGATTATATTATTATTTTTAAAAATTAATTACATATCCAAAAACAATCTTTGAAAATATGAATGTAAAATTTTAAGAACTTGACTGAATTTATTTGAAATTATAGGATTTATCAGAAAAAATAGAAAATTAGAGGATTAAACTGAAAAACAATTGTTAAAATTATAAAAGCAATGTGGTGTATCAGGGTCGAACCCTGAACCTTGTAGCTACAACTAGGTAGCTTTTCCAGCTAGACTGGAAATCTGTGTTGTTAAGAATATTTCACTCAGATTTTATATACTCGTTAGATTGAGTTTATACGTAATTCTCGAAATTTCCTAGGACTTTATACGTAAGTTTCAAAATTCTCGGGGGGACCCCCAAGAGCCTACATAGCTCATCTCCTGCTATATGAGGTCGACCGAAAAGTGCATGTCACTGTAGCAAAGTCTCTATGAATATTATGTGTACAAGATGTACGAACCCATAGTGAAACCCATTAGTAGGGAAGGTAATGAGTGGCAAAAAAAATTTCAAAATATATTTAAAGTGGATTACATTTTTGAAATTCAAGTTAAAACAAAAAAAAATATAAACCAATTGGCATCGTGGTTGAAGCCAACTGAGAAAAACCCTAGCCGATTTACTAGAAATGAAATGTATGTTATCTAAAGATGTCGAGATTATTGTGTTTGCGATAATAATTGAGTTATTATTGTCCTTGACCAAATTTTTTTCAATAATTGAGTTATGAAATTTATTATACCACAACTTTATTAGATTAGTGACATTAATAATAATTAATTAGGTGTCTATACTATTATCCACCACAAATTACTGATTTTGACATATGAAGATTAATGACTTTGTAGACCTTATTTGGAATAGATAAAATTAAAAATTTAGCATTACTAGCTAGACAGTTTTTTTTTTTATTAACAATCTAGTACTACAATCAAATGACCAATCCATAAAAGTTATGTTAACCCTCCTTAAAATAATTAGATAGAATTATATATATGCAGAGCCAAAAACCTGCCGGCTGCCGTAGCGGGTCAATTGTGGAGAACCACCAAACAGATCGGTTGGAAGTGACATGTCTAGATAGTTAGGAGTAGAAAGGCCTATAAATGGCCATGGC